TTTTGGTAGAACCAGAGATTTTATGTAGTGTAACATGTGTGGTGCAATTTATGTTGCACGCAATACCGATGCACAACAAAACAACTTAATGCAACATAGCGCAGCACAACACAACATAATACAACGCTCACCAATGGAAAACAAGGCCATGCAAGGGGATGCTTCGCCTGGCAACGCACAACAATGCAAAATAACGAGTCTTTTCGCGAAACAAACAACGAAACGCGAGTCCGACGGCGAAGCAACCGCGACGGGCGGCGACGGGGCGGCGACGGCCGGCACGGAACCGCCCGACCGACACAAACCCACGCGACGGGCGACGAGGAGGCGGCGAAAGGGCGGAGACGGCCAGCACGGGACCGCCAGACCGACACACAGGCCCAGTTCTGTAGACCAGAAGTAAAATCCCTCAGTACAAGCACAGTTCGGGGACTTTTCGTTGTTTGTGTATTTGGCTATGCATATGCACATGCATATGTACATGCATATGTATATGTCTTCGTACATGTACATGTTTATGTATATGCATACTTATATATGTATATGTGTATGTATACGTATATGCAGATACATATTCATATGTTTGTGGTCATGTGCGTGCATATGTTTATGTATATGTAGATGTATTTGTATGTGTATTTGTATTTGTATTTGTATATGTATATGTACATGTAAAAGTAAGTGTATATGTGTATGTATAAGTATATGTATACTGATGTATATGCATGCATATGTATATTTAAACGTATGTGTTCATGTTATGTACATATATGTATATAGGTGTATGTTTATGTATATGTACATGCATGTGTATATATACATATGTCTATGCCTATGACTATGTATATGCATATGTATGTATGCATTTATATGTATGTACGCATATATACTTATATGTGAATGTTCATGTGTATGTACACATGCTTATTCACACATGCGCACACACATCTATATATATGTATATGTATATGTAAATGTATGTTTATGTAACCGTATACGTGTATGTGTATACATGTGTGTATGTATATGTATAGTTAGTTGTATGCGTATATGCATATGCATATGTATATGTCTATGTCCATGTACATGTGTTTGTACATGTACATGTATATGTATATGTCTATGTATAGGTATAGGTATAGGTATGTGTATGTATATATGTATGTATGTATGCATGCATTCATGCATACATGCATGCATGTATGTATGTATGTATGTATGTATGTATGTGTGTATATGTGTGTGTATGTGTGTGTATGTTTGTTTGTATGTATGTATGCATGCATGCATGTATGTATTTATATATGTATGTATGTATGTATGTATGTATGTATGAATGTATGTATGTATGTATGTATGTATGTATGTATGTATGTATGTATGTATGTATGTATGTATGTATGTATGTATGTATGTATGTGTATGCATATATATATATATATATATATATATATATATATATATACACACATATGCGTAACAAACAGGCGGGCCCCCCTCCTGGGGCGTCCTTCACCTCGATCACATCTGGGTTACGCTCCCGGTACCGCGCTTCCCGGCTTCCAGGGGAGCCCCCCAAATGCCCAAAGACAGCCGAAGGCGACCCCAAGAAGCCCCCAGAACGTAAAAGAAAGGCCCAAGACGCTCCCAAGCAACCCAGGATAGCTTCTGGGCGGCTCTCCAGGCTCCCAGGAGGCCTCCAAGAGACCTCAAGAGAGCTCCGTGAGGCCTCCCGAGAACGCCCAGAGAACCTAAAATCGTTAATCTTTATTGTTTTTACTATGGGTTTGGGCCTTCTCACCATTTCATGTTTCCAACGCTCCAACACGGCCGAAGAGGCCCCCGAGACCGCCCTAAGACCGCCCAAGAAGGCCCCAAGACGGGCCAAGACGGCTCCAAGACTGCCGAAGAGGCGCCCAGGACAGCTCCACATCACCCCAGACTAGGCCCAAGATGAGCGCAAGAGCGGGAGCAGGAGGCCTCCAGAGACCTCCGTGAGGACTGGGACTTTCCGGAGGCCTCCAACACACCCCAGAGAGCGGGACCCCCCGAGAGCGCCCGAAGCGGGTAAAATCGTTGATTTCCGATAGTTTCAGTTGACGTTTTTCGCTTTCTCACGTTTCCCCGCTTCCAACGCTCCAAGACCGAGGAATTTTGGGAAAAACGGTAATTCCAGAGATTTCTTTTTTTTCAAGTTGTGACTCCTACTCCCTATCCTCTTCCTCGAGCCCCATCAAGACTTCGGGGTCACATGTAAAAATGTTTCGGGAATGCTGTTGAACTCTCTGACGCTGTCTTGGCACTCTCTTGGGTCGTCTTCGTGTCCTCTTGGCTGCCCCTGAAACCACTGTAGAAATCGAGGTCCCATGTTCCCATGAGTTGAAACAAGGGAAGTTTAGAATTCCTTTTTTTCAAACTCACCCGCTGCTCGTTTTTGCACGAAGACCCCGAGAGGCATCCCAACGGACCGTGGCCTGCATCCAGAAAACGTCTAACCCACAGCCCAGGCACTACAACTTGAAAAAAAATGATAATCCCACAACTCATTTTTTATTTTTGTATTTTTTTGTTTTTTTCCATGTTCGACTCCCTGTCTACTCTTGCACAGCAGACCACAACTAAGGCTCCAGAAAAAGACCCCAGGAAACCTTCGAGGACCCCAAATCGTTGAGCACCTATCGGCAATTAATGACTTTTGCGTTGTCGCAGTTCCCCTTCTATACAATTTCGAGGCTTGCGCAGGGCCTCCAAGAGAGTCCCTGAATACAAGAAACGACACATATTACATTCCACGTGTTAGCCCATCAAGCCTAGCTAGAACTTGAGCGCGCACGAAGCGCGCGCGATGTTTCTTCTAGTGTGTGTGTGTATGTACGTACATACGTACGTACGTACGTACGTATGCATGCATGCATGCATGCATGTATGTATGTATGTATGTATGTATGTATGAATGTATGTATGTATGTATGTATCTATGTATGTATGTATGTATGTGTGTGTGGATATATATGTATGTATGTATATATGTATGTATGTATGTATGTATGTATGTATGTATGCATGCATGCATGCATGCATGCATGTATGTATGTATGTATGTATGTATGTATGTATGTATGTATGTATGTATGTGTGTGTATGTATGTATGTATGTATGTATGTATGTATGTATGTGTAGACATCATCCATTATATATATATATATATATAATATATATATATATATATATATATATATTAGTAGTACACACACATCCATAAATATACTAGGACGATCGCTCGCGCTTCGCGCGCGCTTAAGTTCCAGCTAGTTTGGATGGTCGCACTCTCGGGGGCCTCTATTTGATATACATTTTCTCTTGGGTTTCCAAGAACCACGAAGACGGCTCAAGTGGCTTCCAAGACTTCCTCCAGTCCACGTTCGGTGGCCTAAGAGAGGCCCAAGAGGCACTTCGGGGGCCCTTCTCTTCGCCGCGGCTGGACGTAGCTGGAGGGAGAGGGAGGAGCAGGAAAGGTCAAGGGGCTCCCTGGGGGGAAAAGGAGAAGGAGGAGGAGGAGGCGGAGGAGGAGGAGGCCGCAGAGGATGATGAGGAACATGAGGAGGAGGAAGAGGAGGAGGAGAAGGATTTTTTGTGTGTTTTCGCACGTGTAGCCAAGCTGCTAGGCGAACTTGACAAACAACAGAAGCTGGACTACCTTTTTTCCATATCCTCGGGGCCTCTTTTGGGGCTCTTTGGGGCTTCTTGGGGACCACCTGAGGTCTCCTGGGGCGAAGATCTCGGGTTCTCGGCTCACGTTCCCAATCCTGGGCCGGGGTTGGGGCCCTCTCGGGCCGCTTGGACGTCTCTTCGGCCAGTTTGGAGCCGTCTTGGGGCGCTTTGGAAGCCTATTGGGCCGTCTCCGGGCGATCCTCGGGGCCTCTGGGGCGTCTTGCAGCGTCGGGAAGCGGAACAGGCGGAAACGCCACAATTGTTCAAAAACCTGAGGACGATCAATTTTTTTGGTCTCTTCGAGCCCTCTTGGGAGACCTCTTGGAGGCCTCTTGGGTATCTTGAGGACCTCTTTGTCCGTCTGGAGGCCGTCTTGGACCGTCTAGTGGTTTTCGGCCCATCCCGCCACCGTGCCTGGGTTCTGGTTTGGAGGCCTCTTGGAAATTCGTTTGGATATCGTGGGAGGCCTCGGATGCCTCCTGGAAGCAGTTTTGGAAGCCTTCTGGAGGCCGATTGGGGGCCTCTTTGGGGCTTCGTGGGGGCCTCTTGGGCTCTCTAGGGGGCCTTTTGGGCTTTCTTGGGGCCTCTCGGAGCCTCCTGGGGGCCTCTTGGGGCGGAAGGCTCGAATTGTCGGTTCGTGTTCCCCCTCTTGGGCTCCTCTTGGGGTCGTTTTGGGGCTCTCTTGGGCGTCGCTTGGGCCGTCTTGGGGCACTCTTGGGCCGTCTTGGGGCTCTCTTGCGCCGTCGTGGCGCCCTCTTTGGGTGCCTCTTGGGCCGTCTTGAGCTGATTTCTGGGGCCTCGTGGGCTGTCTTGGGCCGTCGGAAGCACGAAACAGCGAGAACACGAACAACCTTCAAACGCCCTAGACAAAACCTACTTTTTCGCCTCCTGAGTGCCTCGCGGGAGCCCTTTGGAGGGCATCTTGGCCGTCTCGAAGCCCTCTTGGGCCGTCTTCAAGCCATGTTGGACCAATTTGGAAACGCTCTTGTGTGGTCTTGGGCCCTCTTGGAGCACTCTTGGGCCGTCTTGGCGCCCTCTTGGACGTCTGTCGGCCCCTGCAGTCGCCCCTCTGCGGCCCCTTTGGAGTGTTTTTGGCGCCCCCCGCCAGGCCCGAAACGGCCGGAAGACAAATCAGTGCACTCCCGTGCCCGCGGGACTCCCTCGCCTGTTTTTAAATTAACCAAAAGTATATACACGTACGTACGTATTGGTCATCCTTTGTGCCGTTGCCAGCGTGTGCGATTCAGCACCTGAGCGCAGCGCGTCGCAAACATCTGTGCGGCGGCAGGAGTGGAGTTTTATAACAATTTGATCAACGAGCTCATCGCGAACAAGCTCGTGGCTCAGAGGGCGTCTTCGGTTCGTTTCGTCGGTGGCGCTGCACCTGTGAGCGGGTGGCGCCCTGTATCCTAGGTGCTCCGGGAGGAGGAGGTGTGTGTGTGTGCTTGTGTGATGTTGTGGAGGCGGAGGAGAAGCAAACAATGATGATACGAATGAAAACGAGAGGGAGGAAGAGAAACATGGGATCAGGAAGTTGACGACGACGGAGGCGGTGATGACACTGCCAGGGACAACGATTGCGATGCTGATGATGTGCGTGATGATTCTGATGATGATGGTGGTGATGATGATGCTGATTGTGAGGGTGATCCTGATGATGATGATGATGATGATGATGAAGATGAAGATGATGATGATGATGATGATGATGATGATGATGATGTGGATCGTGATGCTGATTATGCTGTTGATGATGATGTCGATGATTATTACAATGATGCCGATGATGTCGATGATGATAATGTCGATTATGATAATGCCTTTGATGATGATGATGATGATTATGCCACCGATGCTGTCAATGATGATGATGATGAACATTCTTTTGATGATGCTGATGACGATGACGATGATGATGCTGCACATGGTGATGATGAATATGATGCTGATGATGATGATGATGATGTTCACGAGGACGACGGCGATGATGATGATGATGATGATGAGGATGATGATGATGATGATGATGATGATGATGATGATGATGGTGATGTTGACGTTGCTGCTGATGACGACGATGATGATGCCGATGATATTTTTATATATATATATATATATGATTTGACATTGATAGTTATGATGATGGCGATGTGTATGCTGCTGGCGATGACGAGGGCGATGATCATAATTATTATGCTGCTGATGATGATGCTGATGCTGATGCTGATGCCGATGCTGATGCGGATGACGATGTGGATGATGATGACAATGACGAGGACGATGACTATGATGATGCTGCTGATGATGATGATGGTACTGATCTTGATGATGTTGATGATGATGATGATGATGACGATGATGATGATGATGATGATGATGATGATGATGGTGATGGTGATGATGATGATGATGATGATGACGATGATGATGATGACGATGATGCTATTGAGGGTGATGATGCTGCTAATGCTGCTGCTGTTGATGCTGCTGCTGCTACTGTTACTGATTATTATGGTTGATGATGATGATGATGATGATGATGATGATGATGATGATGATGATGATGATGATGATGACGATTATCATGATAATGGTGATGATGAGGAGGAGTAGGATGAGGATGAGCATGACGATGATGATGATGATGATGATGATGATGAGGATGATGATGATGATGATGATGATGGTGGTGGTCGTGGTGGTGGTGGTTGAGATGATGCTGATGATGATCATGCTGTTAATGATGATGATGGTGATGATGACGATGATGCTTATGATGACGATGATGATGATGATGATGATGATGATGATGATGATGATGCTGATGACGATGAGGATGAGGATGAGGATGAGGATGCTGATGCTGATGCTGATGCTGATGCTGATTCTGATGCGGCTGCTGCTGCTGCTGATGATGCTGATGACGTTCATGATGCTGATGATGATGATGATGCTGATATGATGATGATGATGATGATGATGATGATGATGATGATGATGATGATGATGATGATGATGATGATGATGATGATGATGATGATGATGATGATGATGATGATGATGATGATGATGATGATGATGATGATGATGATGATGATGATGATGATGATGATGATGATGATGATGATGATGATGATGATGATGACGATGATGCTGCTTCTGCTGCTGCTGCTGCTGATGATGATGATGATGATGATGATGATATTTATCGGTATGATGATGAGGATAGCAGTGCGATAAAGATGACGAGGAGGAGGGGAGGAAGAGGAGGGGGAGTGGCAGGATGAGTCGGAGCGGGGGTGAAGAGAAGAAGGCAGGGGGGTGGGAGGAGGAGAAGGCGAGGCCTCGAGAGGCGCCAAAAGGAGTCCTCCCCCAGCTAAACTTATTGCAACGCCTCATTGCCTCTCCGTGCTTCTTGCCTCCGAGGCCTCTCGTCTTCGGGATCCCTCGGGGAGCTCTCGGAGCGCCCGGCAAAGGCCCTGCCCCTCCTTGCAGCCCGACGGCCGCGCTTCCCTGAGAGCTCCGGCGACGGCACTCTTGGCAGGGCTAGGACGTCCTTGAGCCGGCCGCCGGCCGGAGCGGCCCGGGAGCCATCCCTTCGTCCGCCACCTCGCCTTCCCTCCTCGTCCTCGCCCCGTCCTGCCCTCCTCGTCGTCCTGCCCTGGCCTGCAGTGCTGGCCCGCCCTGTCCTATGCCCCGTCCCGCCCTGCCTCCACCCCCGGGTGCCCGCGCCCGCTGCTCCCCCTCCTCTCACCCTCCACCCTCTCGGCCCTCTTCTCCCTCTTCTCCCTCGTCTCCATTGTCTCCCTCGTCTCTTACCCCGCGAAGTTGCAGAACCAGGGCCGATGGGGCGCGTCTTCCAGGCCCAGAATCGAAAAAGGAGGCGGGAAGCACATCTGGAACCAGAGCCAGGACCGGGACCGACACCAGAAGCAGTGTAACCGTAAACCAAGCCAGTAGCGAAGCCGAAATCTCGACGGAAACGAAGGTCATTTCTCCACCCGTGCTGCCTCCTTCCCTCGCTCTGTCTCCCTTCCCTCCCCTTCTCAGACCTAAGGATCACCCCGCTGGTGACCATCTACCACTGGGATCTGCCAGAGTGCCTCGACAAGGAGTACGGCGGATGGCTCAGCCCGAAGGTTGCTGCCTCTTTCGGGGGCCCCCGGCGGACAGACGTCCTGCTCCTCACGTCCTGCTGCTCCTCCTCCTCCTCCTCCTCCTCCTCCTCCTCCGCGCGGTGCTGGCCGCCCCGGGCGGCCCCACCTCTTGGCCACCCGCGGCGCTGAACTCCCAGACGCCCTGCTTCAGGTTTTCGGCTTCCGCGGCCGCTGCAAGGAGGAGGAGGGGGAGGAGGAGGAGGACAAGGAAGTGGAGGAGAAGAAAGAGGAGAATAATGAGGCAGAGGAGGAGGAGGAAGAGGAGGAGGAGGAGAAGGAGGAGGGAGAGGAGGAGGCGGAGGAGGAGCAGGAGGAGGAGGAGGAGGAGGAGGGCTCGAGCTGCTCATGCAGCGCGGCGTTGCCGTAGAGGCGCTTCTCCAGCTGCGCCTCCCGTTTTCTGCTGGTCGTTGGTAAGCCGTCCACGGAGTGACCCGCGCGCTTCTTCTGCTGGCCCGCCACCAGCGTCGGGGTGAGCTCAAGTCGGGCCTGTCCTTCTACAGAGGGAATATTCAAAAGTAGTCATAAGATTAGCCTGGGACGATTTTTTGAACATTTTTGGGCATTTTTGAATCTGTTTGACTATTTTTGATTTTTCGTCCAAAAGCCCCCTGTAGGAGGACAGGCCCGACTTGAAGTTAAGCCGAACCGAATGGGTCATCGGCGTCATCCCAACACATTAATGCTATGTCTGCGTCGCCCCCCGGGGGCGACGCGCTCGCCGAGAACCCTTATAGAATAAGCTTCGTGGTGGGCGCTCTCTGGCCACACCGCTCGGGAAACGATACTACAGTGGAATCTGTTTGTGCTACGTGTCCAGGTCGGACGCGCACCTCCACGGAGGGCACACGGTACCAGCATGTCCTTCTGCGTCCCAGCGCATTCCATTTTGGGCACGATCACAGGAACCGATTTAGCAGCCCGCTTTGCTACTCTGTCGAGCGGTTTTTTGTTCAATCTCGAGACTTCGAGTGAGCTGGGAGCTCTTGCTTTTCGTGAAAGCGGACCTGACCAATAGCTCTACTCTGCAGCTCCGAGGGACCTGCCCTTGGTCTAATACTCGAGCTATGTTCAAACAATAGTATTGCACTGGAAATGCTCTGCTTCCCGCGTTTCTCTACTACATTATAGGACTCAGAGCAGCTGTATAGCATATATCTCGATCTGTTGGATGCGGGACCGAATGTTCCACTTCAGCTTGTTTGACTGCTGACTGCTTGAGTTTTCAACTGCTCGTCAGTCGCTGTCATCTCTTTGTTCTGGTCATCGGAGCTCTGCTTGCCCACTCGCTCCAGCTGGGGCAACGCGGCCTCCGAAGCCTCCACCTTCAGGCTGAGGCCCCCGAGGTCGAGGTCGGGCTCCCCGGGGAGCCAGTGCGGCGCGTCTGAATGGTGCTGTTGTTGCGACGGCCTGAATGCGGCGTTCTGCCCAGCCTCGATTTCGGCCGCCTGGACGACACAGCTTGCCCTGCTGGTGGTCCCGAGCAGCGGCCCGTGGGCTTCCCAGCCTCGGGCTCCGGCCCTGGCTCTCTCTCGTGGCCGAGCTCCCAGGCGGGCGGCTCCAAGGCGGGCGTGCCCCTTCACTCGTGGCCGCACCCGCGTCCTGCTGCACGGGGGGCCTTTCGCAAAGCCCGGGGAGCCATCCCGGCCACAGACGGGTCGGGACGTGCGATGGCTCGCCTTCCACGCGCCGCGTGCAGTGATCCTTGGCAGGGCCAGCTTCTCCACGTTCGGCAAGTCCTGGGCGGGCAGCTCGGTCCCACTGCAAATGGTGCGCTGGCGTGCGCAGCACCAAGTGGCACTTGCCGAGGTGGCTGAGCTTCAAGCGGCCGTCGTATCGCTGACGTCGTCGCTGCTGTCCCGCCTGAGCTGCGCCGCCTCGGAGACGCTTGCAGCGTGCCCCGCAGTGGCCCCGCGCCGCGCCGCGGGACCGCGCAGCCCGCGCCTGCAGCGGGTCATCGCGCGCCCGCTCGCGAGCCCTCGCCCAGCAGGGGGGGCTGGCCGCGACAGGACATCGCCCTGCAAACTGGCGCAGGCGCCAGAACTCTGGAGCTCAAATGGCAACGCGAGGGGAGGAGTGGGAGCAGGAGGGGGACAAGTTAGCCAGGTCGAGCGAGTCAGGGGGCCCCGCCCATCCCCACCTAAGCACGCGCTTCGGCGACGCAGCAGTGCCACTTTCACTCACAAGCTGCCCGGCGCTCAGGCGAGGTCAGCATTTCGCCCGCTCTCGCGCGGCCCCGCGGCCGCTGCCGCGTTCATGCGAATGCTCCGCGCCCGCGCGGGAATGCCACTTCCGAGCGAAAGGAGCTTGGGCGAGGGCGACAAGTCGCCCGCTCACGCGGGGCCTCGACAAATTGCGAATGAAAAACATACGCCGCGCCGAGCTGGGAACATTGTTTTCAGGCGAAACCTGCGCGGTGCCAAGGCGAAAAATACATTTTCGTTCGTTTACGAGTCGACAAACTGGCGTGCGAAAAATGTGCGCCGTGCCCCAGCGGGAACTTAATTTTCATGAAAAGTAAACGCGGCGCCGAGGCGAGATCGACGTTTCGCCACGCCCCGTCCCATTCATGCCATACATTTTGTAACGTAGACGACAGAGCTTCCATGTTGAGATCAAAAGAGTTGCCCCCCCGGATTGGGGATAGACCTCCCGGATTGGGGTGTATCGGCCAGCTAGCGGAATTCGGATGCTGAGGAAGAGGGAGAGCACGAGGAGGAGAGGACGGACTTGGAGGAG